CGGGGACCAGACGAGGGACAAGGAACACCACACGGAAGCGACAGGCACGGTTTTTCGGCCGAGCCCAGGCAGGAGTGGGGGGCCACGTGCGAGCCCTGCCCCTGCCCCCCACGATTTCTGAGTGGGAGGGTGGGGCTCGCTTCGTTCGGGAGCTCCCGAGCGAAGGGAACCCCACCCTCCCCCCTCGGAAACCGTGGGGGGCGGGGGCGGGGCTCGCACGCGGCCCCCCCGAGGAGGGCCCGCGGCGCGGCCGCCCAGTGGTGGCGGCGCTGCCTGCGGCCCGCCCTGGGCGCCGCGTGCCAGGCCCTGTCCGTGGCGGGCCAGGCCGCCTGGCGGGGACTGTGCGCGGCGGGGGACGCCGCCTGGCAGGCGCTGTCCGCGGTGGAGCGGGTCCTGGCCGCGGTGGCCAGGGTCCACGCTCCACCACCACCACCAGAAGCTGGAGGGGGGAAGGAGGAGGAGGAGGAGGAGGAGGAGGAGGAGGAGGAGGAGGAGGAGGAGGACGAAGCCGAGGAGGAGGAGGAGGAGGAGGAGGAGGACGAAGCCGAGGAGGAGGAGGAGGAGGAGGAGGAGGACGAAGAGGAGGGCGAAGAGGAGGAGGAGGAGGAGGAGGAGGAGGAGGAGGAGGAGGAGGACCCCCTCCCCCTCCTGCTTATGGTGGTGGTGGTGCAAAACAGGTCCACCAAACGTTGGGGGGGGTGGTGCGAGGTTCGAGGTTTTTGGGAGTTCAAGGTTCGAGGTTTCATGCAGCAATGCTGGAGGGAGTTCGAGGGCCGAGGTTTTGGGACAGTTGTGCTCCTTCTCTCTGCGGTCTTCCAGCCTCGGGATGTGGTCCAGCACCTGCGCCTCGCCGAGAGCGTTCCCGGGGTGCCCGGATCGTCCCGAGCAGCCGCTGGAGACCCAAGTTGTGAACCGAGAACTAGACGACGAGGATCACTGGCTCCAGGGGGATGGGTCGAGCCCCAATGGCACAGTCGTCGCCGACAAGGGGCCCGAAAGGGTGGCCCTCCTCGCCCAGGACCGTGCGTGTTCGCCGTCGGAGGCCTGTCGCTGATCTGGCGGCTCTGTCTCGCCGATTCAAGCTCGATGGTTCCCCTCCCCTGAGTCTGTCTCCTCCGATCGTTGCCCCTTCGGGGCTCAAGAGACGGGTGTCAATGCAAACGGGGTCAGCCAGAGCGCCCGATCTTGCAGGATTCTGCAGGGCCGGGGTGGCACTGACCCGGGTTTGGGTGCAGGATGTTGCAGGATCCTTCGCATTGACCCGGGCTTGGGTGCAGGATCTCGCAGGATCTTGCAAGATTCTGCAAGGCCTGACTGACCCGGGTATGGACTGACCCGGGTCAGAAGACCCCCGACCTCTCAGAGGCTCTGTCCTCGCTGGAGCCGGGCCTGGTCGCGGTGGGGCGGGTGTTGTGCGCGATGGCGAGCGCCGCGTGCGACGCCGTCTCGCTGTTGGCGGGGTGCGTGTGGGAAGTGGCGTTGGCCCCCATCTCCGGGCCTCGCGCTGCGCTCACGCCAGCGATTCGGTGCCCTCGGCCCCAGCACGTTCCCTCGCGCACCTAGTCCTCAGAGGAGAACAGGTACCTATGCCGCTGCCCCACGACCCTCAGCGCGATCCGTCGCGCACATAGTCCTCAGAGGAGGACAAGTTGCCGCCCCCCCGACCCCCAGCGCACTCCGTCGCGCACCTAGTCCACAGAGGAAGACAAATACCAATACGGCTGCCCCCTGACCCGAGCTCGTTCCCTCGCGCACCCATTCATCAGAGAAGTATAAGAGACCGATAACGCTGCTTGTCCTGAGGAGACGCCGTCGCACAGGAAACACGCATCGGGCAACAACACGGTGCCAACCATCAGACCAGCATAGCCATACGGCCAGCGCACAACAACACCGCACATACTGGCACAGCAACATACCAACATACCAACATACCGACATGGCAACAACATGATGTAACATGACACAGGCTGGCACAGCACAAACACTTCGGCATAGCAATGTGGCAAACAGACCAAGCAGCAACTGACCAACGATAACAACAACAACAACAACAACAACAACAACAACAACAATCATTTAAGACTGGGGACACTCCGTTCTCACCAGTGCCAGGGTTTTCATAGGAGGCGGGCAATACCCCCACTTTGTGGGGGGGCCGGTTCAAGCTCTACCAAATTTCCAACGACTCTTCGCCACCACCCACACCCAGCTTCCCGCCCTATGACGTTCGGACACTTCACTTCGTGGCCTGCGGACGACCTTGGCTACTACACTGGCGCATGGGTACAATGACTTGTTGTGGTAACATTTTGTGGAAGCTAGCTTAGTATACGACTTATCCCCCTGTTCCAACACTGGACACCTGTACCGTTTTCCGACGTTTTTCCGTTTCTGTACCACACAAGCAAAGATTATTTTGAGTGGTACCACGTGCGTGGCGCCAGCATACCACAGGATTTGTTTCCGTTGTTGTTATATGCTCATTATTGTTCTGTGGTTGTCGTTCCGGCCTCAATGTGCAATGCTGGCTCATTCGTCTACGAAATACACGTGGCTACTTCTCTCTGGTGGGAGGTCCTGATGGTTGTGGTTGTCCCGATGATTGTCGCGATGATTGTCCCGATGATTGTCCCGATTGTTGTTCCGATGGTTCTCCCGATGGTTGTCCCGATGGTTGTCCCGATCGTTGTCCCGATGGTTGTCCCGATGGTTGTCCCGATGGTTGTCCTGATGGTTGTGGTTGTCCCGATCGTTGTCCCGATGGTTGTCCCCATGGTTGTCCCGATGGTTGTTCCGATGGTGGTCCCGATGGTTGTCCCATGTCAGCGATGCCGGATCCTCACGCCCCCCGCCGGAGGAGGAGGAGGAGGAGGAGGAGGAGCAGGACAAGGCGCGGCGGCTCTGGACACATACGTGCTCTGGAGACATACTAAAGAGACGAGTCTTTGTGCTCATCATCTTCTGGCATACGCCTGTCTCTAATGGCACGCATCGGGCGCAATACTGCAAGCTGCGCTCCTGGCACCAATACATCTGGGGCCAAGTGTCCCAGCATGGTGCCGATACGCCTCCTCGCGGATACATCGCCCGTGCGTCCGTGGGGCGCCAATACCGCCAGGATACCCTGGACATGCGCCGGCATACCCAGATCCACCCGGTAATCCATGACATTCCCATACTCGGACTGCCCGAAAGAACGCCATACTGGCATGTGCCACCAATGGTCCTGCTTCGGGAAAACGGTGATACCATCCTTGACGTCCTGGGAGGCATTCCACAGAGCCATAGATGGCGGCTCCATACCCATGGATCCCGTGTGTGTTGCCACAAATACATCCAGGCTCGCCATGCGCCTGTATGACAGACCTGATACCACCTCGGAATGCACGTGAATACGCAGGAGCTGCAACAGCCTGCGCAAGCCAGCATACACCCAGCCGCCGTGCCGGACGAATACGTGCGATCTCCAGTTCGCTATACCAGCTTGGGTGCACAGCCGATGGAATACTTCCGAAAGTGTGCCCAGATACTGCGCGGCTGGATCTGCGAAGCCAGAAAAGTTGCCGAATGCCAAACCTGGGTAGAAGTAGATTGCGAACGCCATCCACTCTGGGGTCTCGATGCCTCCCATACGGCGCTGGTTCTCGACCATGCCGTTCTCCTTGGACTGGCGCGTACTCTCCGGCGTCGAGAGGCAGAGGCATACACCCGTGAGTCCCTGCCACATACACGGAAAATACACTGCAGTCGCGAACCACGTGGTCTCGCGCAGCACCTTGCAGGAGAGACAAAAGTACCACTACCACCAGCTAAGGGGGTGGCCGCGCCTTCCCCTCGAGCTGGCGGCACCTCGTTCAGCTTGCTATCCAAAGAAACCAAGGAATACAAGAACTCCCACTCCTGTTGCTCTAGGTGCTCGCTGGTCCAGTATTCGCCACGTTGCTCGCGATAGCGACGATACGCTAAGAGCCGCTGCGTGGTCCTGCAATCCACGAGATACTGCGCCAATAACTGCCTGTTCACCTCCTCGGCCGAGACACCCTTCTGCAGCTGCTGCAGGACATACTCCCCGCATACGTGGCTGCGTATCTCCTCAGCATTCTCCAGTATTGCCAGCTGCTGGGAGGGCGCCTTCAGCCACTTCTCCAGGGAGGGCAAATTGGCAAATACCCCGGTCTCCGCGCGATACTTGTCCACAAGCGCTCGCCCCCTCAAGCCTTCTACGTGATGCCAGTACTGGAGGTCCCTGCGCGACAACGCGTAGACGGCGCTATCTCCATGTTTGGCACCGTCTCCGAGTCGATACTTGGCGAGCCACTCTCGCAAGACAGACGGACCCGCCTCATGCCCCCAGGCCTTCAAACGAACCTGCATATTCCGGTAATCGAGGCCAAGGCCCAAGTCGGAGACCTGCTCTCGATACCGCTTGCCGCATGCCGCCTCTACAGCATCCCCCGTCAGCAGCTTTATACAAACCACATCTGTGGAGGAAGAAGCTGCCGTGGCCTGGTGCTTCGATACGGGCTCCTCCCAGTCGGCCGCGGCAGGCCGTTTGGCCACGCGGGCAGATCCGGTGGCAGCTGGCCGTTTCAATACACCGCCTGCGACCTGCGCCGCCGGGCGCTTCAATACACGCCTGGTGACGGCCTGGGCGGATGAAGCCGCCGCCTGCACTGAGGAGCTCACCGACGCATACACATCGCACCACTGTCTCAAGACTCCTCGGGACACCAAGACAGCTTTCCGTCGCATACGCAACGCGGCATGCAACGCGTGGTACTTCAGCCCTGGATATACCGCGCGCATGTGGTCACCAAGTGCCGCGTCGAGCTTTTCAGCCGTGTCATACTGCAAAGGTCCGGAGTCAGGGTGATACTTCACGTGCCATTGCCTCAAAACCATACCGCTGACAGCGACGGGAGGATCGCTCTCCGAGAGAAGCTGCGAGAGGACCTCCGCGGCGGCCTCGTCGGCGAAGCTCTCCCGATACTGATTGAGTCGAAGGCGCTGGCCTATACATTCCTCCACAGCTTGGGCAGTATTCAATGCTCCCTTGGCGCCCCACTCCGTGCTGAGCCACTTCTGGCATACCCTGGCGTCAGCGGATACAGATAAATGTCCCAGGAGCCACTGCTTCAAGACGGCCCCGTCAGTAGTCCCCTCGGGCATGTCTGTGCGAATACGTTCTCCATACCAGGTCTCCAGATGGCCAGCGTTCTGCACTTTGACAAGCGTCTCTTTGGAAGAATACTCCAGTAGCCACGTCGTTGCGACCTTATCTGACACATACAGTGGTGGATCCAACTGTCGGAGCGCCCCGCATAATTTGAAAGCTGTATTATACTGGATGCCCAGGTGGCGGATGGCAGAGCCGTGCTGCTCCTCCAGCTCCTTGGCGCTAGAAATACTGACCGTGCCAGGCACAACCCGATACTTGCACCACCAAAGCTTGCGCGCCTGGTGACTGACCTGGATACCCTTTGCAACGAGCGCCTGATGCAAATAATACGGGCTGCCGCAGTCGGCCAAAGGAGGCCGCGACAGCTCTGGGCCATACTGCTCGTCAAGGGCTTTCGCCGACAAAGCCATGACCCATCCAAGAACACAGGCGATACCTTGATCCGAGATGGCTACGGATGTGACAGTGATCAGTGATTTTGTTCGATGACGTGGTGACACACGGACTTGTTGTGGTAACATGCCGACGACGATTTTCGAGGTCCCACGGTGCGATTCGTATGATTTTATGTTGCGCGGTGCTAAAATTCCTACGAAACCCAATGGTTTTTGAAGATTTCGGCGTGCGCGCGCAAAGAAAAAACGAATGTGTCCCGCATGGTATTATTTGACAGGGATGATGACCCTGGCAGGTGCGCAACGGTTGTTGGAGAAGTTCGAATACGTGAACAAGTTGTTCGGAAAAGCCCATTTGACAGAAATGTTTAAAAAGTGTTGGGTTTCCGACAAATCCGCAAGAGCGCGCGGGATGAAATTTTGACACTTTTTGTTTGAAAAACCATTGGTTTTTTTTTTTAAAAAAAAAAAATGTTTTTATGTTGAAATCGCTACGAACACTAAGGTTTTGGAAGGATTTCGTCTTGCGCGCGCGAATGTCAACTTTACCTTATTTTTTGCAAGGGATTCTTGAAGTTTGGTTATGTTAGAACAAGACATGTCCACTTTAGCTTTTTTTTGCAAGGGAAAACGGGGGACAACAAAACAACCGGATCCGGACACCCACGTTTTGCCTGAGACTTCCTCACGAAAGTGATGAAAATGTGGCTGCGGCCTAGGCGCGGCGAGGGGGCCGCGCACCAGGGGTCCCAACAATAATTATTCTTTAGAATAAATAATGTTCAACAACAACAACAACAGCAACAGCAACAGCAACAACAACAACATGATCCCAGTCAACAGACATACGCACACCAGCAGGCCAACACTCTGGCACCCTACGAACTATGGCACACCAGCCAACGGAATGGCACAGAAGCAACAACGAAACACCAGTCAACATACCCGTCTGCCGTCCTGTCCATCAATATGTTACGCCGTCCTGTCTGCACTTCTGAGCGTGCATGCTAGCTGTAGTTTTCAGAGGTGACCCCGTACACGCATGACCTGTTCGAACATCACCTCTCCCATGTTGCTCTAAGGCGCTTTTTGTTGCCCAGCGAGGTTCCGAAGATTATCCCAGATCGCCCAAGACGGATGCATGTGGCCTGGGAACTTGGGCAAGCCGGCTCAGGGGTACAGCACATAGGGTCGGAAATGCCTCCAGACGCCCCGGGAGGCCCCAGGAAGCAGCAAGGCAGCGGCCAGGGGAAGCCCTCCAAGCCCTGGCAGGCCGAACATACATCAGAAGCATAAGTGTTCCGCCGAGTTTGGGCCCCCGAATGTGTCGGCCAGATACGGAGGGACAGTCTTCCATGGAGTCCCGAGACGGCACCAGAGGGCCAGACGGCCCAAAGATAGCCTCAATTCAGGCAGAACCACAGTGGCCGTCGGCCCATCCCACCTCCGAGACTCGGGACTTTCGGGCTCCTGGGTCCTTACAAGAGTATCTACTGTACAGTGGAAACCAATGCCAAGAAACACCCTGCTTGCCTTCAGGGTGCCCTGGGTTTCTTGGGTTTCGATGGTTTTGTTGTAGACAGCGCGACGTGCCCACACCAAAAATCCATGGACATCCTGGGTTCTCAGGGTTGGGCTGGCCTCCACTGTATCTACAGTACCCAACACAGGGTCACGGGACACGGCAAGCTCAGCGCCTGCGGCGCGGTGATGCATCGTCGATGCGGCTCGATGTGGAGCCCGTGTTTCCCCACGCCGACGTCGCCGATGCTTTGCTGACGTCGCCGCTGCATCGCCATTACATCGGCGATGTATTGGCGGTGCGGCCCGATCCTTCGTCTCCATCTGCTCGGACCCCATCTAGGAGGCCTCTAGTACACCCTGCGAAATGCTTAAGAAATCATGGGTTAAGAAACTCAGAGTCTCAGAACTTGAAGGAAAACCCAACATTTCTATTCAAATCTTAGGATGTACATTGAAGCATTAAGAATAATCGAGACTCTGGCCGAAAACGTAAGTTTTCTTAAGCATCGCCTAAGGTGTATACCTCCTGCCCCGCCTCTGCCGCCGCAGTGGGCCAGGTACCGGCCACACCCCAGAGGGTCGCTCCGGAGGAGTCCGATCCGCGCCCCGAGGGCGGGGCTGATGCGCCCTCTGGGGGGGTCGAGCCTCGGGTTGCCCTTCCTGGGAGGCGGATTGGGCTCCCCTGGGGGGCTGTCAATGCGTGCGGCCGCAGAACCAGGGCCCCAGCGGTGCAGATTGAGGCAAGCTGTTGCCAGCAGTTTGCAAAACCCAGCACCGTCAAGAACAGAATGGCCCAATCTGTGTGTTTCAAGTTCGTGTGCCCGTTCAAGTTCTGGATTCGCACGGGCTGATGTGGCCGAATTGCCCCTCAAAGCCAGCCTGGCCGCCCCCATCGCGCGCAAGAATCGGCGGCGCGCCGAGGAGAGCTCTGAGAGGGGGTAGGCCTTCTCAGCATGCGTCGGGGCTTCTCGGAAGCCCCCTGGCACTCCCAGAAGCCGCCTGTCGTTTCGGGGAGAAGGCTTCGACAGCACCTGGGCTTTCTGAGAAGGCCAGCCCCTTTTGCCGATCTCCCTAAGCGTGCCACCGAACGAAGAACTCCCAGGAGCTGCCACCCAACGAATCGCTACCGTTGGGCAGCACGGGGCCCGTTCCCATCGCCAGCGCTGCCGGTCGCTTGGCCAGAGCATTGTGGCGGGGTGCCGCCGGGCTGGCGCGGGCGGTGTGGCAGTTGGTGGCGGCTGGCGCGCAGCTTTCGTGGGATCGCGCGGTGCTGCCAGCCGCGACATTCGTCAGCGCGGCGTTCGTTCCCTTCACCTCCGCGGCGGTCACAGCGGTGTTCTGCCAGCAGGCGCTGCCGTGGTGGCAGAGGAGGAGGATGAGGAGGAGAGAGGAAAGAAAATGAGAACGAGGAGAAGCGGCGGAAGCGTTCAGGCGCTGGCGTCGGCTCCTTAGGATTGTCCCCTGCGCGAGGCGGGATCTGTGGAGGAGCAGGGCGAGGAGAAGCATGATGATGATGATGATGATGATGATGATGATGATGATGCTGATGCTGATGCTGATGCTGATGATGATGATGACGATGACGATGACGCTGACGATGACGCTGACGATGAGAATGACGATAACGCTGACGCTGACGATGACAACGACGATGACGATGACGATGACGATGACGATGTCGATGATGATGATGATGATGATGATGATGATGCTGATGATGATGCTGATGCTGATGCTGGTGCTGATGCTGATGCTGATGCTGCTGATGATGATGATGATGATGCTGATGATGCTGATGATGCTGATGATGTTGATGCTGCTGATGCTGATGATGATGAGAATGCTGATGATGATGACGAGGATGAGGATGAGGATGAGGATGATGATGATGATGATGATGAGGATGATGAGGATGATGATTATATTTATGATTACGCTGATGATTCTGATGATGAGGATGAGGATGAGGTTGAGGAAGATGATGATGTGTATGATGATGCTGATGCTGATGTTGCTGGTGATAGTGATAATGCTGATGATAATGGTAATGAGGATGATGAGGATGATACAAGGATCATGATGATGATGATGATGATGATGATCATGAGGAGGATGATGATTATGATGAGGATGATGATGAGGATGATGAGGATGATGAGGATGAGGATAATGATGCTGATGATGCTGATGATGATAATGCTTTGTTGTGATGTCGATAGTGGTGATGATGATGATGTGGAGGAGGAGGAGGAGGAGGAGGAGGAGGAGGAGGAGGAGGAACATGATGACGAGAAGGAGGAGGAAGAGGATCAGGCGCTGGCTTGGCGTCCCGCTCAGGGCCTGTGGGCTGCCGCCTCACGCGCGGGCTTCGCGCTCGCGGCCCTGGCTCTGGCGGCGGTGTCCATGCTGACTCTGTCCGAGGTGGCAGAGTCGCTGGGCACGCGCTGGGCAAGGCACTCGCGCTTCGTGCCGTCGGACGTGCGCTTCCCTTCCGACGCCTCCCCTCGGGCGCGCGCCGGCTACCAGCTGATTCGAGGCGCGTCGTTCGCGAGGCGCCTCGGCGAGCAGGTCCGCGGGGACGGTGCTGCGGGGGGATCCTTGAGCGTTGTTGAGCCCGCAGAGCGGGGGCCACGGTGGGCCACCCATTCGGGAAGCGAGTCCGCAGATGTGGCATTTTGGCATGGAGGGCAAGGGAGGAGGAGGAGGCTAAGGAGGAGGAGGAGGCTAAGGAGGAGGAGAGGGAGGAGGAGGGGGAGGGGGAGGGGGAGGAGGAGGAGGCGGGAAGAGGATTCTGGATTCTGGATCTGGCGCGCCACGAGACCGGTGCGTCCCACGAGGGAGGAGGAGGAGGCGGAGGAGGAGGAGGTGGAGGAGGAGGAAGAGGAGGAGGTGGTGGGTGGTCACGTCATGCGGGAAACAAGTCCCGAGCAGAGCAACACGCATCACGACCACGACGACGTCGACAATGACGACGGAAACGAGGCGCGCCACATCGTACCACGGACAAGGGAGAGGGCGGCGGTGGCCGACGCGTCCCAGAGCTAAGAATCTCTAAGTGCCGCGGCTCAGAGAGCCGGGATGACAGACACGGACGGACGGACAGACAGGCGGCGTGCAATGCTTGCAAGTGGATAGTCCTTGCATGAGGGAAATCGTTCCCGACCGAGCGGAACAGCACGCACCGCGAACACAACAGCGCCGATCACGACAACGAAGAAGATGCGCGCTAACAAGGAGGAGGAGGAGGAGGAGGAGAAGGAGAAGGAGAAGGAAGAGGAAAAGGAGCAGGAGGACAAGGAGACGGGGGTCTCTGGGTGGCCCCTTGGGGTTCGCTTGGCACCTCCAGGGGGTTTCTTTGGGGGGCCTCTCGGGGTGTCTCGGTGGCATCTTCGGTCGTGCCTCGTGGGGCCCTCTTGAACTGTCTTGTGGCCCTCTTGCCCCGCCTGGCGCCTTCGGAGACCGTCTTGAGGACCTAGCTGGGCCGGCGTGGGTCCCTCTTGGGGCGCTGCAGGGCCATCTTGGAGGTCTCGTGGCTGTGGTGGGACCGTCCTGGGGGCCTCTTGGGCCATCTCGGGGCCCTCGTGTATGGTCTTGGGGTCCTCTGAGGGGCCTCCTGGGCCGTCTTGGGGTACTCTCGGGGCGAGAATGCCACAATCGTTCAAACAGCTACAGAAGATCAGAATGTGGCCCGCCTGGAGGGCCCCAAGAACCTTTTTGGGTCGTCTTGGGGGCCTCCTGGGCCTTCTTGAGGCCATCCTGGGCCGTCTTGAGGCTGCTTTGGGGTCGCCATGGGCCGTCTTGGAGCCATCTTGGAGGCACCTTGGCCGTCCCGCACGCTTGGACCTCACCGTCTTGAGCCCGCAGAGCCTGAGCCACGGCGGGAACATTTTCGGGAAGCGATCCTGCAAATGTGATGTGATGTTTTGGCATGCCGTGGGGCCGTCAGGGGGAGGACGCGGAGGAGGAGGAGGAGGAGGCGGGAAGAGGAGGAGGAGGAGGAGGAGGAGGAGGACAAGGAGACCGAGGTCTGTGGGTGGCCTTGGGGCCCTCTTGGCGCTTCCTTGGTGCCTCTTAGGGGTTCCACGGGGCTTCTTGTTGGCCTCGTCGGCCTTTTGGGGCGCCTTCTTGAGCTGTTTTAGGGCGCCCTTGCCGCGTCGGACGCCTCCGGAGACCGCCCTTGAGGGGCGCTTTTGGGACCGTCGTGGAGCCTTCAACTTCAGTGTCCCCTCTTGGGGCTCTGTTGGCCGATCTTGGAGCACTGTTGAGGCATCTCAGGGGGTGCGAAGAGGCGAGAACGCGATAAGCAAAGATCAACCTGAGGTGTTTGACCTGTTGTGGCCTCTTGGGGGTCTCCTTGGGAGCCTCCGTGGTCACTTGGAGTCGTCTTGCAGTAGTCGTCAATCCTTTTGACGGCATGCTGGAAGCCATTTAAGGTCATCTTATGCCAGATTGGAGAACATGATGGGCTTCTCAGAGCCATCTTGATGCAATGTTGCATCGGGGAGCCACGGACGGGTACGCCCCAAGCTGTCTCGTTCGCTCCCACCCTGCCTCACACAATATTTAAGTAGCACCAGAGACTGAACATGCCATCGGGTGGGCAGCCATCGCGAGGCAACACAGACACCAAGTTCGCGACGTGTGCGAGGTGTTCCACGCGTGCCCGATGCGCCACGCGCACCAGGTGCGCCAGGTGACCCTGGCGTCCAAGCGGGCCAGGCGCGCCAGACGGGCCATGTGCGCCAATCTCGGGTGGGGCTCGGACAAAGAGAAGTCCCTGCCAGAGCATTAGGGAATGCTCTCAGAGCGTTCCAGTCCGCTCTGAGAAGGCAACGGCGCCTGGTGCATCTTCCAGAGTCGCCGGATTTCAGATATCGTCGATCTACCGGCCACGCGCAGAGGGGGGAGCGAGGAGGACTTCTTAGAAGCATCCCGACTGCTTCGATGTATCCTCATCCGAATTTGTCATTGTCCTGGCTGCGTCTCACAAGTGTGCCACGTGCTCCAGGCGCCCCCACGGGTGCGCCAGGTGCGCGAAGCGCGCAGAGAGCTCGTCGGGCGGCGACGGGTTGAGCCATGTGCACAAGTCGGCTCACATCTGGCAGCGTGTCGGCCAAACTCAAACAGACACATAGATCTATGTTTCTACACACATATATGTATATATATATACGCAAGGCTGCAGTGGCGCTTCGCGCCATGCACCTTGGTCCTTGAAGTTTGGCATGCCGGCGGAATAGCAGGAAGGTCAAGCCGACAATTCGGGGATAACTCCTGGTTGCCTTTTCTGGCATCGCCGCTATATTGATGTTGTTTGTTATCCTTCCTCCATGTTCCTTTTTCCTTATTTTCGCCATGCCCTGCGCATTCTCCCCATCCTCCTCAGCTCTTTTTTGCGGAGGCTCCTCCTTGGAGAGCCTCTAGGGGCCTCACAAAAGTTGTTTCAGGCTGTATTAAGGCCTTCTGGAGACCTCCTGGGCGTATTCTGGGGGCCTCCGGGGGCTTCCTCGGGCCACCCTGCCTCCAACCGCGGTCTCCCTGAACGACCGAATCACGATTTGGAATTCTTCGGAGGGTGTCTTTGGGCCATCTTGGGCCGCCATGGGGCTCTCTGAGGGCCATCTTGGACCCGTGTTGTGCCGTTTTGGGGCTCTCTTGGACTGCCTGGAAACCCTTTCGGATGGTTGTGGGGCGATTCTGGAGCCTGCCAGGCGGCTTCGGACGCCCAGAAGATCGCCGTCTTGGAGCGTCGAAAGCCGAAAAGAGGAGAACCCTAAAATTCACCAACAACCAATAGAAAATCAATGATTTTGCCTCGGGGGGCCTTCTTGGGAGTGCTCTTGGAGGCCTCTTTGGGGCCGTCCTGGAGGCCTCTTGGGCCATCTTGAGGTCACGTCGGTCACTCTTGGAGCGCTCTTGTGCTGTCTTGGGGGTCTCTGGGACGTCTCCGATGACCCCCCTGATCGCCCTAGGTGTTTGGGAAGGCTTGGCAAAGCGCCATGTGAGACCCGGGGGCCGCTTCGAGGCCCGTCTGGAGGGTCCCATAGCCCCAGATCCCGGGAGTCTGGTTTTTGTTGGGGGGGGATGGGTTTTCCCCCCGCCCGGGCTTATAACAATATAGGAAGAGGAGTAGGTGTGTATATATATATATATATATGTACGCACGCACAAATACATGTATAGATGATTGTGTGTATAACCATGTATGTATACATCAACAAACATATACATGCATACATACTTACATACATGCATGCATGCATGCATACATACATACATCAATACATACATACATACATACATACATGCATGCATGCATGCATGCATGCATGCATGCATGCATGCATACATACATACATACATACATACATACATACATACATACACAAACAACTACTTACTTACTTACTTACTTACTTACTTACTTACTCACTTACTCACTTACTTACATACGCACGTACGTACGTACGTGCATACATGCATGCGTGCATGTATGCATATATATATATATATGTATATATGTGTATACATATATATACAAGGCTGCAGTGGCGCTTCTCGCCATGTACCTTGGTCCTTGTAGTTTGGTTTGCAGGCGGAATAGCAGGAAGGTCAAGCCGACAATTCGGCGATAACTCCTGGTTGCTTTTTCTGGCATCGCCGCTATAATAATGTTATTCGTTATCCTTCCTCCATGTTTCTTTTCCATTATTTTTGCCATGTCCTGCGCATTCTCCCCATCCTCCTCAGCTCTTTTTTGCGGAGGCTCCTCCTTGGAGAGCCTCTAGGGGCCTCACAACAGTTGTTTCAGGCTTTATTAAGGCCTTCTGGGGACCTCCTGGGCGTATTCTGGGGGCCTCCGGGGGCTTCCTCGGGCCACCCTGCCTCCAACCGCGGTCTCCCTGAACGACCGAATCACGATTTGGAATTCTTCGGAGGGTGTCTTCGGGCCATCTTGGGCCGCCATGGGGCTCTCTGAGGGCCATCTTGGACCCGTGTTGTGCCGTTTTGGGGCTCTCTTGGACTGCCTGGAAACCCTTTCGGATGGTTGTGGGGCGATTCTGGAGCCTCCCAGGCGGCTTCGGACGCCCAGAAGATCGCCGTCTTGGAGCGTCGGGAAGCCGAAAAGAGGAGAACCCTAAAATTCACCAACAACCAATAGAAAATCAATGATTTTTGCCTCGGGGGGCCTTCTTGGGAGTGCTCTTGGAGGCCTCTTTGGGGCCGTCCTGGAGGCCTCTTGGGCCATCTTGAGGTCACGTCGGTCACTCTTGGAGCGCTCTTGTGCTGTCTTGGGGGTCTCTGGGACGTCTCCGATGACCCCCCTGATCGCCCTAGGTGTTTGGGAAGGCTTGGCAAAGCGCCCTGCGAGGCCCGGGGGCCGCTTCGTTGCCCGTCTGGAGGGTCCCAAAGCCCCAGATCCCGGGAGTCTGGTTTTTTTGGGGGGGTATAATGAAAGATCCCGGCCACAGGCCCCCGGGCCAGAACCTCTCTTGTATTTCTCCCCCCCCTCCCCACGGACCTCCTTGGGCGACCCCCGGAGGTTCCAAAACGCTGAGTCTTTCAATTTCGCCCAAGATTGCCTCCCACAGGCCCTCGAGGCCCCAAAGGCGCCCCCCGAGAGCTCCAAGGCAGCCCCACATGACATCGCGAAAGCCCCAGTGGTCGCCCGGGGAGCCACGAGAGTCTGCTAAGAGACCCGCCTCAAGAGGCTCAAATCGTCGAGGTATATGATATTGTGCGGGTTATCACAGCGCCCAAGACAGCCGCAAAGGCCCCTCAGGATCAGCACAAGAGGCCCACGAGCCCCCAAGAGGGCGCCAAGACGGCCCAAGAGGGCCCAAAGACAGCCCAGGAGCGCCCAAGGCGGCCCCAAGAGAGTCTCAGTGGATCCAAACATGGCCCCAAGACCGTCCGGGAGGCCCCCAAGGACGCTCCCGAGAAGCCTTGCGCCGCTTCCGAGCGGCCTGGAAGAGGCGCCGAGAGGTATTCAAGAGGCCTTACAGAGGCCTTCTGAGGCCTCTGAAAATCACGCCGCGAGGCCCCGAGAGGCGACCAAGACGCCCCTACGATCCATGTCAGGGGTGTGTGCGTGCGTGCTTGTGTGCATGCGTGTGCGCGCATGCGCGTGCGTGCGTGCGTGCGTGCGTGTGTGCGTGCGTTCGTGCGTTCGTGCGTTCGTGCGTGCGTGCGGGCGTGTGTGTGTGTGTGTGTGTGTGTGTGTGTGTGTGTGTGTGTGTGTGTGTGCGTGCGTGCGTGCGTGCGTGCGTGCGTGCGTGCGTGCGTGCGTGCGTGTGTGCGAGTGTATGCGTGTATGTCGCGCCGAGCTTCTTTGTCACTTCACCGTGCATTGCGGCTTAATGTGCGTTCCGTGCATCCCACTTACGCCCCATCGCCGGCGCAGTGACTCTGCCTAGCCGCTGACGCAAACGTGTGTGTGTGTGTTCTGGGTGCTTTGTGCGTGTGTGTGTGTGAGTGTGTGTGTATGTGTGTTGGTGTGTGTATGTGTCTGTCGGCGCGCGCGTATGTTTGCGTGTGTTTGCGTGTGCGGGCGTTTGTGCGTGTGTTTGTGTGTATGTATAAGTGCGGGTGCGTGCGGGTTTGTGTGCGTGCATATGGGTTGCATCTAGGGAGCGGGGGCGGGAGGGGGCGACGACATCCAATGGCCGGGTGGTTGCATAATATAATCATGGTGCGCTTGCGCGTGTATGCGCGTGCCTCTGAGTGTCTGCGCGCGTGAGTGTCCGTGTGCATTTGTATTTTTCTGTGTGCGCGTGTGTGTGTGTGTATGTTTGTGTGTGTGTTTGTGTGTGTGCGCTCGGACCACCCCCTTACGTGGGAACGTCTGGATCCGGTCACGGGGAACTAGGTGGAGGAAGAGTTTGAGACTCTTGGTGAACTCAAAGGTGTGGACAGATTTCATCCAGGCACCTGGTCTTCAAAGGCCAGGGTACGCGCGTGCTTGCGAGTGGGTGTCAATTTGTTTCTTTGCCCTCATGTGTGCATGGGAGATGGCGTCGAGGTGGTTGTGTATCGGGTGGTTCACGATGTCATCAGGAGGGTGTTTGCGTAAATACGTTGCGCGCGAGTGGGTGCACATTTGCGCATGCACGCGCGCACCTTGGAGCCCCAGGAAGACCCATCGAGAACCCAAAAGGCGCCCAAGAAAGCTCCAAGATAGCTTTGTGGTGTTCGTTGCTCGTCCCTCCTACTCCTCCTCCCCCTCCTCCTCAGGCTCCCTGTGCTCCTTCTGCTCCTCCTTCTCCTCCTCCTCGTTTTCCTGCTCCTCTGCCTCCCGAGTAAGAGGCATGACAATCAGGAAGGCGAAGATGGGGAATGGCGAGGAGAGAGGAGGAAAGGAGGATGAGGGAGGCGCCAAGGAGACAGCAGGAGGCAGGAGGGGGCGCAGGGAGTAAGCAGGATAGCTGTCCGACGCGTCGCACGTCGATCTCACGCCGCTCCGCGCCCGCCACCCGAATCCGAGGCTGTCCCCCAGAGGGGCCGGCACCTCCACGCGCCAAGGGCGGCCCTTGCCCGGGGAACCTCTCCGTTGGTATCCCGGGGCTGGTGGTCTAGCGCAGGGTCTGCTGACATTGACAGCGCAGTCGGCCAGAGCCTCGGCGCGCGCGTAGGGCGCGCGTGGGGAACTAGCGCATCTGTATTGAAACTGGCCGGCCCAAACCAAACCATCCTTGCCAGAAGCCAGTGCGGCTGCGTTCAGTGCTGCGTGCGCTGCGTGCACCCGCAGTGCGTTTGCGTCGGATCTTGATCGGAGCAGGGGGACAGCGCACGGCGGGCACATAGCACCCCGGGCACCCCAGAGAGAACCCAGTGCTGAATGGGTGCGGTGTGCGCGTTCGTGGTCCAGATGTATGCTGCCACGTGCACTGCACCCCCCCTTCTTCCTCCCCCCACCCTTCTTAATTCCTTCTTCCCCTCCTCCTTCTTCCTTCCTCCCTTCCTCCCCCCCCCTTCCTCCCCCCCTTCCTGCTCCCCTTCCTCCCCCCTTCTCTCAGAGGCTTAGCGCCCCCCCCTCTTCCTTCCTTCCTCCACTCCCTTCCTCCCGTCCCCACCCTGCGACCTGCCAGGGTTTGTAGTCTAGTTCTGCTTCTTTGTTTCCGCTCCTGGTTGTCACACGTGCACTCTTGCCCACGCGTCTTCTTGACGCAAGGCTTCGGTCAGTCACTCAGTGCACCTTGCATTGTTATAGACAGGGGTGGAGAGGGATGCGCCCATGCTTCCTGGTTGGCGACCTGTCGAGTGGGGGGGGAATTGATGTTTGTTAGTAGGGAGGAGTGATCCACCTTTTTTATGAAGGGGAAGACGGGGGTTGGAAGAAATATCGTCTAAACCAGTTGATTCAATGTGCAAAAGAGAGCACCCAACCGTCATTCCACGTGCACAGGGTGCTGTCCGACTCCGCCAGGCCGATCCGAACCGATCTCCTATGGTTCCGACTCAATCCGATTCGACGCGGGCGTTCCAATGCGCGATTCCGATCTTCACCTCGTCCGAGTCAGCGCGAGGCCGATTCGATGTGGCAGCCGACTTCTATCGATGTCATGTCAATCGGGCCCGCTCCGGTTCGGCGGAGCAGAACTCTTGGGAAGACACGAGTGACGACGGACACGGACAAATCCCACGACGATGGCGGCGACCTTGTGGCATCGAGAGGCCCTCGTGGGGCTCTCTTGACGGGGTCGTGACCGTGATTTGTGCTACCACTGCCCTTGGGCCGCCTCGGGGCCGAAGGGGCCGTCCTGGGGCCATCTCGGGGGCCGAAGAGGCTTCGAGGGGCCTGGAGGGCCCCGAGGGGCTTCGAAGGAGGGCCGCTCCGTGCAGCGTCTCGCGGTGGCCGCGGCCACTGCGGCAGCTGCCGCTGCTCGGCGCTCCTCCGGACCAGGCTCTCCTGCGGGCTGGCGACGGCCACGGAGGCCGTCGAGGGGCCCCAGGGGCCCTCAGGGAGCCAGGGAGCCGCGGGCGCTCTCCAGGGGGCCCCCAGATGGGCCACGTACAATGGGCCCGCCGCCGACGACGATCGGCGTCGACGACGTCCGACGACGCGTGCGACGACGCGTGCCGCGAAGGGGACGAGGACGCGAACGACAACGTGTGCGACGACGTGCAACGAAAACGTACGTACGACGACGTAGGATGATGACGTGCGACGACGAAAGTCTGGCCAATCACCTCCTGCACCTTCTTCCTTGTCCCCCCTGCCTTCCGATTTCGGTTCCGATCGGGCTTGTCGCGATCCGGTTTCCGATTCGATCCGGTTCAGATTCTCGGATGTTTGCCGATTCGATGACGCAGCCTGCTTTCAGCCAATGACTTCCGATTCGACGCTTGCGCAAATCTGATTCGATTTATCGACCCGATGCTGGGGCCGCCTGCGTGCGCGATTTGCGCGCAACTGATGCAGCAACCGATAGCGGACTTCGGCGCAATCTAAGGCGCAACCACCAGCTGATTTGGGTGCGGTATCTGCGCAACGTGTGGCGTAACCATAGCAGACCCCCGCGCAACATGGCTGATGTCGACGCAACAGTTGATCCAAAATGTGGCGCAGCCAGTAGGTGTTCACCACCTGATGTACTTTCAACGTGTCGTGGAGTGTGAAATCGCGATTCGGAATGGCGGCGCCATGGGCCATGCTGTTCCGCGCCGTGCGATGTGTAGTGAAGTACTGAGCTGTGCAATGTCGTGCTGTGCAGTGTCGTGCCGTGTCCTTGCACATGTTGTTTCGTTGTTTGGGTGACTTGAAACGACGACACCATTTACAAGTATATGTCAATATGATTGTTTAGTCGAAGTGTGAAAAGTGTGACTTCGAGTCTCGTGTTTAGGTCTACGTGAACCTCGACCTATCGTTCCTGAAGATGGTGCGTCTCGCCCTGGACCTCTTGTGGAAGGGGCTTCACGCCCTGACCACCCCACTGCTTGACGCCTGGCGCTGCCTCAAGGGCCTGGCGTCGGAAGCCTGCGCCGCGGTGAGAAAACTGCTCGGGGGCCTTCTCTCGGCGCTTGCGCTTCTGCTGAGCCTTCTGTGGAGGGGGTTGCTCGGGGCGGTGCTGCAGGTGTGGGAGTCGCCCAAGTTCTGGCTGCTGCTCGTGGCCGCCTCCATGAGCACGGCCTACGGGGCGTGGAGCGGCCTCTTCGACGCCCCGCTGGGCTGCCTCGCGTCAGCGCTCGGGCCGCCCTTGGCCGCCACTCGCAGCGGGCTGCTGTGGTTATGGTCGGGCGCCGTGGCAGCGCGCGCCGCGGGGGCCACCTCCGCGGCGGTGGCCTGGGCCCGCGCGTGGGCGATGCTGGCGCCAGGCGCAGCCACGGGCTGCGGGGCGGTGGTCGGCGTGGCTTTCCAGATGACCTCTCTGGCCTCCCAGCCGCTGCTCGTCGTCGAGAATCCAGTGTTCGCCTGGATCGTCTTCCTCCAGCACCTGACGCTGAGCAGAATCTCCCTTCGGCTCAGCGGCATGGCGGCCAACGGCGATGTCCCTCCGATCCTGTTCCCTCATTGCCCCTCGCTCTGGCTGGGGCGTGCGGGGTTCAAGCAGGTGTTCGGCCCGCTGTTCTTGCTCGGCTCGCTGCAGCCTGTGTGCGCGGAGTTCTTCGTCATCCTGCAGGCGTCAGGGGCAGGGCCAGGGGGAGATACAGTCCACCCGCATAGTGAGGATAGGCAACCTTCCCAAGGGTGCCCATGCATCCTTGCCTCATCGGTCCGTTCTTGGCCATGATGGCCGCGCCCCGCCCGCGAAGTGTCGACATGGCCTTCCAAGGCCCTTGCATCATTTTCGCGCGTCCTTTTGATACGGGTCGACTGTAGGCTCAGAGGGGGACGCCTCGACATCCAATCGCCCATGAATCGCGGCTCGGGTCCCGATAGCCCACCCCGCTCAGGCATGTGCAGAGTCGCCATCGAGTGCCTATCGTCGATCTCTCGGCGATGTATCGCTGACTCCACTCCCTCCTCCTCCTCCTCCTCCTCCTCCTCCTCCTCCTCCTCCTCCTCCTCCATCGCCTCCTCCTTCCCAGCAATCCACCTCGAGGTGCTCACCCTGCCCGTCCTCCTCGTCTACCTCGCCACCTCGGCGGCCATCTGCGCCTGGGAGCTGCGGCAGTCGGCGCAGGGCAGCGCCCAGCTGCAGGAGCTCAGCACGCAGCTCCGGGCGGAGGCCGCCGAGTACCGACCGCTGCCGGGCGGCCCCGAGAGCGCCGGCGGGGCGCCGGGGGGGCGGTGGCCGTGGTCGCGGATGCTCTCCCGCAGCGGCGGGGCCCCGGCGGCCTGGGGGCGCACGCCTTCCGCGCCCGCGGCGCGGCCAGCGGACCCGGAGACCGGGGGCGACCTCGAAGCGGCCCCCCGGCGAGCCATCCCCTGCCGTGACGTCCCCCATCGCCGCACCCGGAGGCGCACGTGTGCGGCCGGAGGGAGGCCCTGCAGGGCGAAAGGGGACGTCACGGAGGGTGCTCGTCACACAACGGGTCGGTGAGGCCGCGCCCGAGGAGTACGACGAGATCGCAGGCTGGCTCAGGAGCCTCGGAGACGAAGCAGAGGTCGGTGGCGCGCAGAGGGGGGAGCTGGCCTTCCCAGGGCGCCCCGGAGGTCGGAGAAGCGTTCCGAGAATTCTCCGAAGCTCCGCCGCCGTCCGCAAAGGCCTGCCCCTTCGCACACCTCCTCCCTCGGCGCGCCACTGGTAGATAGGTAGGTAGGTACAGTCGGACCGAGGTACAAGATCGAGGTCGGTTCGGGGAGGGTAGCTACCCTAGTGTTCTTCGTGCTTGTTGGGTGTTCTGGTGCATCCTGGGGAGGGTAGCCTTGGATGGTCTGTTTGTTTTGGCCGACGGAGGGTCTCATGTTCTTGAAGGATGTTCATCTGGCCTGGGTCCGATTGTAGGTGCCTACCGGTAGAGGACTGTTTGTTGGGCCCGCGGGCCCGGGTCCTTAGGCAGGAGGGTCGCAGGGCTGGGGGAGGAGCAGCAGGAGGAGCAGCAGGTCCAGTCGATGGTGGACAGTTTCTCCGAAGGGCTTGGGCGGCCTGTCCTCCTACTACTCCTCCTCGTCCTCCTCCCTCCTCCCTCCTCCTCCTCCTCCTCCTCCTCCTCCTCCTCCTCCTCCTCCTCCTCCTCCTCCATCGCCTCCTCCTCCTCCTCCTCCTCCTCCTCCTCCTCCTCCTCCTCCTCCTCGGGTCGCCTGCGGCCCCGGGGGAGACCGTGCAGTCAGGGGGGCGCAAACATGGATTGCGGCGCGTGGATCAGCGGCGGGCCCCGCTGCCACAGTGGGAGTCGGCGCGCTCCGTCGCCGAGTCGGGCGGCATTGTCCGATGTTTCGGGGGCAGTCCCCCCGATGCATGGACTCCTCCTCCTCCCTCCTCCTCCTCCTCTTCCTCCTCCTCCTCCTCCTCCTCCTCCTCCTCCTCCTCCTCTTCCTCCTCCTCCTCCTCCTCCTCCTCCTCCTGGCGCCCACGCGCCACATCCGCGAATCCGCAATCCATGTTAGCGTGCGCCCGAGACGAGGAAGGGCAGGAGAAGCGGTGGTGGGAGGAGCAGCGGGAGGAGCGCCTCCCCCTTCCAGGACGACTGCGCCCAGGGACAAGGCCCTCTTCGGAGACACGTGCACGATCTGCCTGGAGGAGCACTACGAGGAGAGCGGGGAGGCGAGTCGACTGGTGCTGCCGTGCCGGCACTGCTTCCACGAGCGCTGCGCCGTCCGCTGGTTCTGCTCCAGGCCCGCGAGCGATCGGCGCTGCCCCATGAGGTGCGAGCTGACGCGCGCTGGCAGGGCACGGCTCACGGGCGGCAAACGTATGCATATCCACCTTCAGCGGCGAGCGAGGGGGTGAAGGGAGAAGGGGCGGGCCTGCTCAGAAGGCTGCGAAGTCCCCAGCCTCTGAGAAGTGTTTCAAGCCTCCCCCGTAGACACAAACAACCTCTCGGAAGGCCGAAGGCCTTCTGAGAAGCCCCGCCGCCTGATGAGAGGACCATCTCCTCATTTCCCCCCTCGCTCGCCGCCGACACGTCCTCGCGGTCTGGACTTCGGTGCGCCAACCCGTGGATATGCGGTCGCACGGATACGCTCCGCGCGTGGCATCCGCGCTGAAACGCATCGGATCCACATGGGGCCGCGGCCGAGGGGTCCGGCCCGCGAGGCCGTGTGACGGACAGCGAGCTTGCCTGCCCACGGCAGGCGGGGCTTCTTCTTGTGAGAGCGGCTCGCCGTGCCGCCCTCGGCCGACGCCCGGGCGCCGAGAGCGCCCCGCCCGGGCGCCCCCCAGCGGCGCGCCGCGGCCGTGCTTGGAGCGATCCTCGGCCCCGACGGCGTGGCCGTCGCCGCGCCGCCCTTCCAGACGGTGGCCGCGGACGCGCAGGGCCGAGCACGGCTGCCTCTGCGGGCTGCTCCCGGAACCGGCCCTTCGGGTGGCAGGTCCGGTGCATGCAAAGGCCGTGGGTGGCGTGCACGTGGTTTCCGGAGGTTGGAGCCGCCCAGGGGACCGAGCCCGCTCGGCGGCCACGTCCCCGCAGCGGCCTGGTTGACCCAAGAGGGGGGTCCAGCTGCAAAGGGGTGGTGCAAGAGATCTGGTGGTACATAGACTTGTGGGGGTCCACTCGATGTGGGGCGTGCGCTCTGGGGCACAAGTGTATTGCTCGGTTTTCGTGTGCAAGACACTAGCTGCAATATAACGCACTACAACTTTCTGGCGCAATACATTTGCAACACAACTGCCCAAAATCTAGTGCACGACCCCCTTTCAGCTGGACCCCCCCTTTTGCTTGAACCAAAAGCGGTCGCGGCACATCACCGTGGCGATCGCCCGCGTGCGTTCCGCGACGGGCTCCAGGCCGCCCAGAGGGGGCCAGGGCAGTTCAGGCGGGGTCGTAGGATCGCACCGCATCGGCGCTGCGCCAGCGGCGCGGCGCGATCCAGCCATCCCGACATCAACGCCACACCGCCGATGCGTCGGCCCATGGGGTGCGATCCTCCTGCCCCCTTTGCCAGGGCACTATGTGGGTGGCCTCCACAGGCGTAGGATGGCTAGCTATAGTCAGGAGGGACAAAAACAGACAGACACAATTAATCGTCGATCCCCAGGAAAATATGGGAAAATATGGGAAGTGGCGGGGGAGACAAAAACCCAGAAAATATGGTAAAATATGGGGAATGTTTTTATTTGTGTATTTATTTTGTGTCCTGGGGCCCCTCGGACGGCCGGGGCCTCGTGCGAGCAGGCAGCGCAGGGAACGCCGACCCCGGCCTGGGCGCCGCCGTGGTCCCGTCGTTTGAGGCCGGCGTCGACGCGCATGGCCGTTGGTTCGCCACTGCTGGAGTAATTTCTCGGATCGGCGCTCGACTTTCCTCCCTGGCGCGTTCCGCGCGCCAGGGGCGGCGCCGGAGGCGTTGCCAGGGGGCCCCAGCACCGATCCGAGAAATCCGCGCGGACCTCCGAGTTGTCATGTTTATTTCATTGATCGTTCCCCTAGCACTTCGCACCTTGGCGCACGCGCGCGCGCTGCGGAGCTCGCGCCCGTGCCGCCCCGCCCGCGTGCGAGGAGCGCGCGGACAGGGTCGGTGCGCGCGCCAGGCCCTTTTCGCGCGGAGGCGGAGGCGGCGCCCCGGGCCGTTCAGAGACAGCACGGCAAGTGGCGAGCGCGCGTTGCTGGAAAAGACGTGCGGGTGGCTCTGCTCATCCTCGGCAGTCTGGTCCCAAGCTCTCCCTCGAAAAAGACCAAACACCATAAACATAGACTTTCGTTTTCGTTCCGCACGGGTTTCTTGGATTCGCGCTGGTCTCCCCCAGCGGCGCCTCCAGTGCCGCCCCAAGCGCGCTCCGCGCGCCAGGGAGGGGGGTCCAGCGCAGATTCACGAAATCCGCGTGGAGCGCCAAAAAATTGTTCCGACGGAGTGACCCCACATGATAATAGGTTTAGCTTGCCCTTACCCTTTTCCTCCTCGCCCTGACTGACACTCTCCTCTCGCCCGCCGTTTTGCCCTCACCTACTCCCCCTCCTTTTATTTATTCTCCTCCTCCTCCTCCTCGGCCGACGATGGGTTACAACCGCCAGCCCGGAGACAAGGGGTTACCCCTGGGGGCTGTCCCGACCGCCTGCCCCCGCGCCCCAGCGGCCCGCGGGGTTGTCTCAAAGGCTTCGCGAACCAGCCGTCGGGGAATGCGCGCGTTTTGGCCGCGGCGGCGACGGCGCCGAGGAACATCGATTTGCTTGCCCCGACCAGGGGGAAGGGGAGGAACGCGCGGAGAAAAAACAGGGGAAGGACGAGGACGGGGAAGGGGTAGGGAGGGGGTGATGATGAGGAGGAAGTGGAGAAGGAGGAGGAGGAGGAGAGAAGGAGGGGGAGTAGGTGAGGGCAGAACGGCGGGCGAGAGGAGATTGTCCGTCAGGGCGCGGAGGAAAGGGGAAAGGGCAAGCTAAACAGATTTTCATGTGGGGTCCTTCCGTCGGAGTAATTACAGGTTGCCGATGCCCCGCTCGGATTACCAACATGAAGTGCGGGACCCGTAGGGAACGGGCTCCCGCCTGAGACTTCCTCACAAGTCACTCACAGACGAGGCTCCCGCTTGATAGTTCCTCCAAATTCAAGCCTGGGGAGCCCAAGCGTGACGACAGAGGTTGCCAATGACCCGTTCGGATTACCAACATGAAATGCGGGACACATAGGGAGGGGGCTCCCGCTTGAGACTTCCTCATAATTCACTCACAGACGAGGCTCCCGCTTGATACTTCCTCCAGATTCAGGTTTGAGGAACCCAAAAGTGGCGACAATTAGAGGTTGCCGATGTCCCGTTCGGATTACCAACGTGAAGTGCGAGACCCATGGGGAGGGGGCTCCCGCCTGAGACTTCCTCACAATTCACCCACAGACGAGGCTCCCGCTTGATAGTTCCTTCAAATTCAGGCCTGAGAACCCCAAAAGTGACGACAGTTACAGGTTGCCGATGACCCGTTCGGATTACCAACATGAAGCGCGGGACCCATAGGGAAGGGGCTCCACACTTCCTCACAATTCACTCACAGACGAGACTCCCGCTTGATACTTAGTCAAGCCTGAGGAGCCCAAAAGTCATGACAGTCACAGGTTGCCGATGACCCGCTCGGATTACCAACATGAGGTGCGGGACCCATAGGGGGTTCCGCCTGAGACTTTCTTGGGTGACGCAAGCGAGTGACGGCGATGAGTGAGTGAGCGATTGAGTGAGTGAGTGGGTGGGTGGGTGGGTGGGTGGGTGGGTGACTGATGCTGATGATGATGACGATCATGATGATGACGACGAGTGGTGATCAGTGTGATGATGATGGTGGTGGTGGTGGTGATGCTGCTGATGCTGATGATGCTGCTGATGTTGATGATGATGATGATGATGAGAAGGAGAGTGAAAGATAGGGAGAGGGGGGTGAGGAGGAGATCCTGCGCGGAGGGTGTCCAGAGAAAACAAGAACCCCACTTAGGATGTGGGGAAATATGTTTCATGGCGTTGTGTCTTCTTCTATCATTCGGTCGGTCATGTCCCTACAGGCGGATTGGGGGCGAATGCGTAATTCAAATATCCTAAGACTACCCCCAACTATTCAAAACATATTCAAAACAAGTCTCCACATGACTTGTGGACCATTTGGGGCAATCCCTTCTGCAGAGGGACAGGCCCGATTTTCTTCGATCGTCCTCGGCAGCCTGGCCCCGAGCCCTCCCGATGGCCCACCCCGCCCAGCAGCCTGCGGCCTCGCCATCGGGGGCCCGCCGCTCGCCCGCCCGCCCGTCGGGCTCCGCCCGCCCAGCCCCGGTGCGGGCCCCTCCCCTCCCCCCGCCGCGGCGGGCTCCTCTGTCTGCCGCTGGCTCGTGCCGTGGTGCCCTGCTCCGGCGGAGGCTCGATCGTGTCCCTGTGTTGCTTGGGGCACACAGGGGGCATTCCCGCCCCCAGCCCCGCCCCCTCCCCCCTCCTCCCCCCTGTAACGGAACGCCCCTCCTCCCCCCCCAGTGCGCTCCGGGCATTGCCGCCGTGCGCACGGCGGAGGGGAGGCAGGCGTTGCATTGTACCCCCCTCTGGCCCCTCCCCCCCCCCCTATAGTGCCAATTATCGCCGAACCAAAACGCGCTCCTCCACCCCTGTGTTGGTTTCTGTGCCCATCGTTGCTCTTCTGACGTATGGCGCAAGCAGGAAGCAGTGCTGCTCCGTTGTCTCGATTCCTTTTGCGTGCTCTCCACAGTGACGCTGTCTCGTTGCAGTTTTTCTTCTGTTTTCCTCACCCTTGCTTCGTTTCCAGGCTCCTGCCTCGAGGTACCTAACGTTGCATCTGAATCCCTGCGCTACTGTCTGTTATCCTGCTTCGTGTTGTATGATTCCCTGTTTCGGTTTCCCACTGCTGTTCCGTCTTCTCCATTCCAGGCCCGTGCTTTCCTGAAGTCTGTGTCCTCTCCGTGCATGTTTTACAATCTCCGCTTTTGTTTCGCGTTCACCACAAGCACATGTTCTGTGGTCTTCGCCTCTGTGTAGTTGTATCCCCTGCTTCGTGCTTCGTTCTCTGTTCCCTGGTTGTTGCGTTTCATCCCCCTGATTTGTTGCCCACACTTGCTCTGATGTTTCTCCACCCCTGTTTCGTTGTATGCGCCGCTGCATTTTTCCATAGTTTTTTGTTGACATTGGTTGCCCCTGCTATGACCTGTGCTCCGTTTTACCTGCTCCAGCGAAGACAACTCAGCGTGGGACGAGTTCTGACTTGAGAACGGGGAATTCTGCCTTGAATCTGGCGCTCTGAGTATTCGGGTGCTGAGGGACGGGATCTCTCCCCTGAATTTAGAGATCTGGCTGTTCGGGTGCGGGGGGAGGGGGTCCTGGGAGTCCAGATCCAGACTTTCGACCTGCACCCGCGGCGCCTCGGCAGCAATGTCCAGAGTCGGCTCCAGTACACTCAAGTGCCGCACGACTCCCACTTGGTGCCGCACAATCTCTACTTCATGCCGCACGAGCTCCCCTTGGTGCTGCATGAGCTCTACTGCGAGTCCCGCCTGGATGTCCTGTTTGGGCAGTGATCTGTCGTTTGGCACCGTGCGGATGCCGTGCCGGTAGTTGCCCATGGGTTGCGGCCTGATGTCCCTTCATTGTTCTCGGGCCTCTTTCCACAATAGCTATAATTATACGCGTAACCTCAGACACGCGAATGGCGATGTAGGTATAGGCGATGTAGGTTTCCGTATTGTAGGTGGGGGTGGTTCATGGCCAACCCAATTGTGAGAAAGGTTCGCTCGTGTTTTCTTACCGTTTGGTCTGCACGAGTTCTGCGCCGCAAACACCAGATTCCTATCATCGTCGACGACCTACATCGCCGTTGGCGCGGCCTTGGCATAGGCACGTCTGATACGACACAGCCATCACCTCCTCCTTCCCTGCTCGGCCGCTTCCTCCCCCGCTCGCGAACCCGAGGTCACCGCAGCCCCCCAGGGGGCCGGCGGCGGCCGCCGCGCGAGGCGGGGGCCGCTGCGCAGCGCCGCGAAGGCCCGGACGGGTCGACGGCGACGGCGACGAGAGCGAGTGGCTCCGTAGAGCCGCTCGCATCACGAGGCAACCGAGGGCGCGCCAACGGCGATGCAGGAAGCGGCGACGTAGGCTTCGGCATCGTGGTTGGGGGCGGTTCGTGGCCGGCCCGTGGTTTGCCAGTGCTCCGTGCCGTCTTTGCTCGGTCTTTGCGCGTGCTTGAGAGGCAGGAGCATGTAGTTCGCGATTTCCCGCAATCCGGTCTGCGCGAGTTCGGTCCGGGAGAAAAAGGAAGATCTCGCCGTTGACCAACATCGCCGTTAGCGTGGCCTTGGAGCGAACCGCGACGGGATGGTGTTGCTAGTTCTCCGCCTCCGGGGGCCCTCACAAGGCTGGGGGACCGTCAAAGTACGACTCGGGAGGATGATTCGGTCCCAGGAAATCAGGAGCGACAGAAGGACGTACACGTACATGAATCCACGCTGGTTTCGAGAGAGCGCGTTGCCCGAAAGTTCGTAACACGCGGCCGGTCTCGCAGATCGAGGGGCCGTGTTCATGTACATAGCTGGGCGGAAAGGTTCCAGACCTCTGGGGGTCCACGATGTCACAAACGTCACGCCGGTCGGGGGTCTGGTAGAGGGCCGACTGGGAGAGAGGGCGGGGGCACGCAGTCTGCGGCGCATGCGGCTGCTCTCTCGGCCCCGCCGCCCGGTGCCTTCCCCGATGCGATATGGCGACTGGCGCTGCGAGGCGCTGGGGAAATCGGCCGCGTGCGTCGCCTCGCTGGCCCCCCCTCTGTTCCACCCCAGCCCGGACATGGAAAGCAGGAGTCAACGGCACCGTAACGGGTACTTACTAACGGGTACTTTGAATTTTTGCCGAAAGTTGCCACTTTAGGGCCTTTTTCTTGCATTGCAGCTTCGCCCACATCGGGAAGGGCTGGGTTCGCTGGGTCACTGGCCAAAGTACCCGTTGGTGGAGTCCCCGTTTGAGGGGCGCTGAAGGAGGGGGTCCCGACGCTCTCCCCCTTTCTGAGGGGGGGGGGCCCTGTTCCAGCCCGGCCCGGACATGGAAAGCAGGAGGGGGTCCCGACGCTCTCCCCCTTTCTGAGGGGGGGCTCCCTGTTCCAGCCCGGCCCGGACATGGGAAGCAGGAGGGGGTCCCGACGCTTCCCCCCCCTTTCTGAGGGGGGGGCCCCTGGAGGGCCCTCGTCGCCGCGGCCGAATCCGCTGCGGAGTCCTCGTTGGAGCGCGCTGCGGGGCAAGGCCGAGGATCGAGTGGGCGGGATCGAGCAGGAGGAGGGCGGGATCGAGCAGGAGCAGAGCAGAGCAGGTTCCGTCGGGCGGGGGGGGAGAAGGAGGGCGGCAAGGAGGGGGAGGAGGGGGGGGAGGAGGAGGGGGAGAGAGGGAGGAGTTCGAGGAGTAGGAGAAGGAGGAGGTGGAGGCGGAGGTGGAGGCGGAGGTGAAGGGCGATGTGGACGGAAACCAAGGACGAAAGGGCGGAGGCGGGCGGGGGGAGGCGGGGGGCATCGGGAGCGGGAGCAGAGCGGGAGAGGAAGAGGGGGGATGATAAGTGGACAGGAGGAGGAGGAGGAGGAGGAAGAGGAGGAGGAGACTTGTAGCCATTTTGGCTCAAGACGCCCATGGCATCGCGCCAGCCCTAGGGGGCCACCCGCGATCGTAGAATCAGTTTTTTCCCCCCAGATCGCATACACATCCCATGCTACATTGTTACATTATTTCGCAGTTGTGTAGTTTGCTTTTCCTGTTTACACGAATTACAGTTTGAGTCGTGTCTTTGCATTCCGCGCTACACTGCATCACCTGTATCACCACGTAGGGCAGCACACACCACCTCAACTACGACATATACTTCGTACGCCCACATCGTTAGCACCACTTTCGTGGCCGTTTTGGCCAAGCAGTTGCAGCATTTTTCAAGCAGTAGCATCGCGACTCCGCCGAGTTCTCTCAACCTTGCCTGGCACCGCGGGAGGAGAGACAGACGCGCAGCAGCACGCGAACTACTAAAGGTCGCATCAGCGTGAACCCTACTCAACCAACAAACATACCAGCAGCTTCAAGCAATAAAGCTTTTGTTCAACCAGCACCACAGCGCACAGCAGCCACCACGACAGCCAGCCGACACACGGAACCGTCACACACAGGCTCCCCAAGCCAGAGGCACAGGAAATGGCAAACACCCTAACAGAGACAACAGTTCAGCAACGGCACGGGGCCATCGCGGCAGCATGTTGGGCACCGTGGGTGTGCCCATCCAGCACAACAAGTCCCGACCCATGCAGCACACCTACAGTACCAGCAGCAACAAGGCGGCACATACCGCAAAGCTGCGCCGACCACGCCACAGTGGACACGTCACACATTCAAGACAGCAGATGCATACCACTCAAAGCCCCAAGCCAACACAACCACCGACCACACCAACACATAACAACGACTATGCACCCCCACCCAGCTTCGGCGGCAACCCAGAGCACGCAGCATGCACCACGTGAGAAGTAGGCACTGGTTGGCAGCTGACCAGAAATTTACCATAACGACGTCGCACACAAAGGCACGCCTGGAGCCACTCCACCCGAAATAGCAGCATGGAATGCATCCATGGCAGCAGGACTCAGGAAGCTCGCGACACAGATCCTGGCAGTGGAACGTGCAGGACAAGAAGCAGGCCAACTGCGTCACGAACTGGCAGTCATAGAAAGACATTTGGTGGACCAAACACCAGAAGCCGAACTGCTGCAGTGTATCCGTAAGCTCAACGACGAATTACCCAGCATGCACAAACGATCTCGGTAGCCACCCTGCAGCAAGCTCAGCAGAAGCACGAGGACAACATCCACAACGCGACGACGCCTGCCAGTGTGGAGAAGGAGCTGATCAACAACCGCCAGCACACACCCAGCCCCCAATCACGCGCACAAGACGTGCAACTAAACTCTGGCCCTCGAGAGCGAACACCATCGGCACCACTCGAAGCGATCTCGCCGAACGCCGACGCCGACGACGAGACGCAGAAGCCCGAGGCATTATTCATAGCAGCATGAGATCTCCATCAAGCCAACGACTGGGTACTCGCAGAAGTAAAGCAGTCGACAAAACATGAACGCGGAGGCCATGGCGCAGCACCAACTACAATCCGCAGAAAAGACCACGCGACAACTACAAGCTACAAACGACCACCTGTCAAACGACCACCACGAGACAATAGAATACATCCAAGCATTGCGACAAACATAGGTGCGCATGCAAGCCAGCAATGCAGCGGCAATGCGACGCGAACAAGCAGCGCGACGCGCCGCCGAGCGCGCAACAAGACAGAACGGGCACATGCACCAGCGTCTAGGAAGCCTCACGGAACACGCCCTCCTCCACCACGCACAGATCAAGCTTCATAAGTTCAGAACCATCAATGCGCGGCGGCCCACCTCGAGCAGCGTGAAACATGCAAAGTGTCGGGGGCCGTCATTGTAGAGCTACGACGGCTCAAGCAGAGCCATCGAGATACGAGGACAGCAAGCTCTACGACAGGACCAACCACTCGCAACAAGCAGCAACCACGCGCAGTGCAAGCAACAGGAGGAGGGCATGCAGCATTTAATTCAACAGGTTCACCAGCTCTACATAATCCAGCAAGAGGAGCTAGCGTCAGGAAAAGGGCCGCACATGTTGATGGCATAAAAGAACATGCAGGATCTGGATCAAGGCCTGTCACGTAAAATACAACAATCCTGGTCGCACGCGCAGCCGCGCCAAAGCCACGAAAGCAATGAACACAGGCACACGCCTCATTTGACCATGCAGTTGCCGCGGCACACGAGGCCACGCAGACAGCGAACCGACTCCAATGCTCAGAGATCAACTTACTCCACGCGTGCACTGTTGTTTTTCGCATCACGCATCAAGCCCGCGCAACGCGAAAAAGAGGAAGGAGAAGAGGCGGAGCAGGAGGAGGAAGAGGAGGAGGAGTAGGAGGAAGAGAAGAACACCGAAGCGGAGGCGGAGCGGGGAGGAACAGGGTACCCGCCCTTCGTAGAAGCCCTCCTTGCTTCCGGGGAAATCTCACAGAAAACCCCTTTGGATGGGGTTGATTCTCTCCGCGAGGCCTGCATGATGCCGCCACCCCTCTTGCCCGAGGCTCTGTTTGGACCTCTCTCTCGCCCGAATCCGAGCCGAATCCTTCGCGGCCGATCCAGAGCGAGCTCGACGTGTGCTCGTCGTGGGCTCGTGGATCCCACGCGGGTCCGCAGCGAACAGCGACGCGACGGGGCAGACGAGGCCGACCGAAGAGGCAGCGTCATCCCAGTGCCCGCCCCACCTCGCTGCTGGGCTGCCCCACCCTCGCTGTCTGGGGCGGGCGGGAGATGCAAGCGGGCGGCGGCGCCCCCCTGTCCTACCCCACCCCCCATCCTCAGTATGTCCGTCGTTGCCCCTCCCTGCTCCTCTTCGCGTGCCGCCCCCCTCCCTCCCCTCCCCCCTCTTCCCCTCCCCTCTTCCCCCGCTGATGAAGCGAGCCTGCCATGGCACGAGACGACTGGCCGCGGTGGTTTCCACAGTTATTCGGATGCATCGTGAGTTGCTGGTTGAGGCCCCCGAGCCCCCCCTGAAGAAATGTGCCGCGTGGATCCCGAAGTTGTCGATCACTGAACACAACGTCGAACAGGTTCATGATACGCTGAGTAGGTGTGTGTGAGCTGCTTGCACGAGGCGCAGACTGCAGAGCGTTTTATAACGTTGCGTGCTTCCCGGTGCCTTGGGTCCCCGTCGTGGGTGTTGGCCACAGCGTTGTTAGATGGGGTCCCGCGGGCATCTGTGAATTGTGTCGTTGTTACAGTCTGCACATCGGCACGTACATTTTAGAAGCTCAGAGCCCGTGCTGAGAACCTCCAAAGAACCCTAAGACTCTGGCAAATGTACCTCTCTCTGTGAACAGGTTGGGCAGGGGGTGATGATGCTGATGATGATGCTGATGATAATGCTGCGGATGATGATGGTGATGGTGATGGTGATGATGCTGCTGCTGATGATGATGATGATGCTGATGCTGATGATGCTGATGCTGATGCTGATGACGCTGATGATGATGTTGATGCTGATGGTGATGATGATGACGATGCTGCTGATGATGATGATGATGATGACGATGCGGATGCTGATGCTGATGCTGATGCTGATGCTGATGATGATGATGATGATGATGATGATGATGATGATGGGGATGATGGTGATGATGGTGATGATGATGCTGCTGCTGATGATGATGATGATGGTGGTGGTGATGATGATGATGATGATGCTGATGATGATAAGGAGGAGGAGGAAGAGGAGGAGGAAGAGGGCGAGGAGGAGGAGGAGGAAGAGGAGGAGGAGGAGGAGGAGGAAGAGGAGGAGGGGGAGGAGGAGGTGGAGGAGGAGGAGGAGTTGGAGGAGGAGGAGGAGAGGAGGAGGAGGAGGAGGAGGCAGGAGGAGGAGGAGGAGGAGGGAGGAGGAGGAGGAGGAGGAGGAGGAGGAGTTGGAGGAGTTGGAGGAGGAGGCCAAAGAATGGGGCCCCGATCCAGCCTTGAAGCCCTGGAGAGTGCCCCTTTGGCCTCTGCTCCTCGGGCTTTCAGGCCTGTCGCCGCCGCCCCTCGCTGGAGGGGCTCGGCCCCGCGAGGCCTCGCGGGGCCCGCGCTCGCCCACCGCCTCGGCGCACGCACCGCCTCTGGTGGCCCTGCCCGAGAGGGGGGGGGACCAGAAGGCGAACACACCCGCCCCCCCACCCCCGCAGTCCCGACGCCCATCCCCGAGCCGGCGATTCGAGGGGTCGGGACTGGGTGGGGGTGGGTTTTCTCCATTCCTGGACCCCGGCAGCCCACCCCCACCCCCAGTCCCGACCCGTGGGGATGGGCGTCGGGACTTGGGCTCGGGGATGGGCGTCGGGACTTGGGGTGGGGGTGGGTTTTCGCCTTCTCAGGGTTGGCCAGGTGCTGCGGCCACGCTGTGCGTGGCCTCAGCTCGCGTCCGACTGCTGGCCCTCGCTCGGGAGTAGCCCCATGGGGCCTCAGCCCCCGGGCTGACGCCCTCCGCCCCCCAGACGTTGGTTTGGGTCTTTGGGTGGTCTGGGCCCTGTTATAAGTTGGCTCGGCCGCTGGGCTGATCCTCCTCCCTGGGGCCTCAGGAGTCCCAAAGGTGCCTGCCAATTCGGCCCCCTCCCGTTCCTTCGGGTTCGGTCGGGGCTGCTGGACTTGGACTCCCTCCCCTCTTCCCCCCTCCCAGGCAGGTCACGAGAACCTTCTTTAGCGAATTCGGAGAGGTTTTTGTTTCCCAGGTCGCAAGGTCCCCTCGAGGACCACGGTTTCGCACGAGGCGGGCGTCGCCAGTCGAGACGCCAGCCTCAGTGGCCCAGCGCAGCTTTCTCCAGGGAAGCCTGGCGCTCGTGACCACCGCGTGGGTCTGCCAGTGACTTCCGGTTGATTCTTTGGGTGAGAAGGCAGGGAGGGGTCGGGTGTTGCTAGAAGTGCCCCTTTCCCAGGGTGCCCCCAGCTTTTCGCATTATTTTGGAGCCCCTGGGGCCCCCTGGGCCTCGTGAGGGGTGCCCTAGAGGCCGTCTGGGCCACCCCGAGAATCCTGGGGGTACTCCTATCAACACCCGAAGGGGAGGCGGCTCTGGGCGTCTTGCTTTTCTCGGCGCGCGGTCCTGCTGGTCTCCCGAGCCGTTTTTGAGAAGCCCTGGTCCTGTCGAGGGCCCCCAGGGGCGCAAGAGACGGGGGTCAATGCAAACGGGGGTCAGCCAGAACGCCGGATCTTGAAGGATCCTGCAGGGCCAGGGTCGCACTGACCCAGGTTTGGGTGCAGGATCCTGCAGGACCCTTCGCATTGACCCCAGTTTGGGTGATCTTGCAGGATCTTGCAAGGCCTGACTGACCCGGGTCTGGATTGACCCGGGTCAGCAGATCCCCGACCGACAAGGGAGAGACATTGCCGCGGTGAATATACGTCAACGCCCCCCTGGAGGCCGCAGCGTCGCCGTCGCCGGCTGCTCCGGAGGCCCGTGGGGAGCAGAAGGGCCCCGAGGGGGGGGGGCCGCCCGCAGGTGCTCGGCGCCGCGGCCCGCGGCGTGGTCGCCGCAGGAGCCGACCGGGGCGAGGGGCCCCTCGGCGGCCGCCGCGGCCCGCCGCTGCGGGGGCGAAAGCTGCCGGCAAGAGTCATCCCATGGGCCTCGCGGGTATATCGGGGGCGGCCCCCAGAGATCCGACGCTCCCACAAAAATCGGAGCGGCGGGATTTCGGCCGTTTTCGGCCTCTGGGGGCACTCGCGCGGCCTCGGGAGCGTCAACGAACGATTCAGGACGAATTACGGGCCCCGGGGAAGTGGTCCAGACCTCCAGGGCCCACGCATCGAGAAAATTGGAGCTGCCGGATGTCTGGGAGGGGGGTGGTGACTTGTTGGGGGGATATCCTGGCGGGGGCCATGATCCCTCCCCAGATTTCAGGTCACCTCTTCTTATTTCAACACGTGCCCTGCCCCCCCCCCCTGGGCCGCGCACATGCCGCTGCCCATGATTCGCGCCCCCCCCCCTCTTGGACGCCCCCCACTTGGACGCCCCCCCCGAAGATGGGGTCCGAGCAGATGGGGTGCGAGGGTCGCGCCGAATCGCCGATGCATCGGCGATGCGGCTCGATGTGGAGCCCGATTTTCACCGCGCCAGCGGCGCCGATGCATCGCCGACGTCGCCGACGCATCGCCGATGCATCGGCGATGTGGCGAGATCCTCCGACCCCATTTGCTTCGACCCCGCCTGGGGGCCTCTACGATGACTGGCGTGACGGGGGGGAGGGGGGAAGGTGGCCGGTAGTCTCACGATTCGTGCCGGCACCTTCTGGGAATGCTGAGGAAGGGGCAGTTCCCAGACTGCACCGGCGCGATCGTGACGTGACGAGGGGGAGGGAGGGAGGGGGGCGGGGCCAGCAACGCAGGGCTCAGTACGAATCCTCCAGCTCGAGTCGATTGGCTCGAGTCGATTCGAGTTCGATCGGCTCCGATGCCGGTTCGAGGCGGCCTCGGATTCCGACCTGGATTTTTCGTTTGCTCCATCCATGGAGGCCTTACTGGGCGGCCGATCTCTGGCGGTGCGACTTCTGCCGACTGGGGCCGCAGACGTCCGCCGGCCCGATGCACTTAACGACGGCCAGTCGCGCGGGTCCGTCCGATGCCGGGCCCTCCTGGCGGCGGGGGGGGGGCCGCCTGCCGTGCCGCTCAAGATGCTTGTCACTTAGTGAGGGGGCCGTCTACAAGAAGGGGGGGCCACCCCAAAACGCTAACAGCCAGGCCAGGGGGCACAACTAAAATGTTATTTTCAAAATTACGTTCTTGTCCGAAGGCATGGTTTGGAAAATCCAAAAGTATGGTTTGTTGTTGTTTTTGCCCTGAAGGGCTGTGTGTGCTTTAATTCAGAAATCGTGATTTTATTGTGGGAAGGCTTCGCCTCTTTTCGCCGTTTTGGAAGTGTTGTTGCACGATGAACGCCACGTGCGAAACATGTTTGTGGGGAGTTGCGTGTGTAGTTTCATTCGCGGTTGATCGCGTAGTTGGTTTTGTTATTGTTCGTATCCATCACGGTCCACCCAGCAATAGTACCCAGGCGAAATGTCTTGATCAGGGAAGTGCGGGAGCATTCCGTGTAACGAAGACAAATTGATGGGGAAGCCGTCAAAGTGAATTTCGTGGGTCAGCCTGGGCACGCCCGGGAGTGAATGTACATTCGCGGCTTTTGCCGACACAGGCAGGGCGCACAATAATGATGAGGAGGCGGGGGAGGAGGAGGTGGGGGAGGAACACGAGGAGGACGAGGACTAAAAGGAAGAGGGGAGGAGCGACGGGAGTAGCAGGAGGGGGGCCGAGCAGAAGTATGATGATATTGACTTCGCAAGCTCTGGGGGGAGGAGGAGGAAGAGGAGGAGGAGGAGGAGGGGGAGGAGGAGGAGGAAGAGGAGGAGGAGGAGGACGACGAGGACGAGGAGGAGGAGGAGGATTGGGCGAGGAAGAGGAGGAGGAGGAGGAGGAGGAGCAGGAGGAGGAGGAAGAGGGAGGAGGAGGAGCGTACAACGCGCCCACGCGCGCGCGCGCGAGGTGCGACTTTTGCGTTGTCCTCAGCGGCCCGGCAACGAAGGGGCCTGGAAACGAAAGGGTTCTTGGGCGGTGACCGACTGGATGTCCCAGGTAGCGCGGGGCTGCAGCGCGCCAGCCAAGTGGCTCCGCGCACAACGCGCCCGCGCGCGCGCGCGCCGGCGCGAGCTGTGAATTCTGTATCATCCACAATAGAAGGGCCGCAATGTTGGCATGGAAGCTCAAGTGGTCCCCTAGCGGAGACCGATTGGATTTCCGATTTACCATGGGTTTGTAACATGTCGGTGAAGTGGCTCAGCGCGCAACGCGCCCACGCGCGCGCGCGGGCGCGAGCTGTGAATTCTGCGTGTTCTCCAAGAGAAGGGCAGTCATGCTGTCCTGGAAACTAAAGTGGCCCCTCAGCGGTGACCGGTTGGATTTCCAAATTGACATGGGGATGTAGCACGTCGGCCAAGTGGCCCCGCGCACAAGTCGCCCGCACGCGCGGGAGCGAGCCGCGACTCTGCGTCATCCAGAACAGAAGGGCCGCCTTGGTCGCGAGGGAGTTCAAGCAGCCCCTTAGTGGCGACCGCTTGTTTTTTCCAATTTAACATGGGCTTCTAGCGTGTCGGCCAAGTGTCTCAGCGCACAGCGCGCCCGCGCGCGCGAGCTGTGAGTTCCACCCGCAATAGCAGGGCCGCCATGCTGGCCTGGGTAATCAAGCGGCCCATTAGCGGTGAGTGATTTTTGGTTAATAGCATTTTGATTAAGTGGTTCAGCGCACAACGGGCCCACGCGCGCGCGCCCGCTTGCGCTCGCGCGCGCGCGAGCTGTGAATTCTGTATCACCAACAAAAGAATGGCCGCCATGTTTGCTTAGAAACATAAGTGACCCCTTTAGCAGTAACCGACTGGTTTGCATGCTAGCAAAAGGTCGTAGCGTGCAGATGAAGTTGCGCAGCGTGCAGAGCGCCCACGCCTGCGCGCGCGGGCGCGAGCTGTGAACCTTGTATTCTCCTCAATGCAAATGCCGCCACGTTGGCTTGTGAACTCAAGTGGCCCCTTAGCGGTGGCCGATTGTATTTCCCATGTTTAACATGGGTGTGTAGCATGTCGGCCAAGTTGCCCAGCGTACAAGGCGCCTCGCGCGCGCGCCCGCGCGCGCGCGAGTTGTGAATTTTCGTGCTACCCGCAGTGGAAGGGTCGCCATGTTGGCCTGCAAACTTAAGTGGCCCCTTTGCGGTGGCTTCCAGCACGTCAGCCAAGTGGCTCAGCGCACAACGAGCCCGCGCGCGCGGGCGCGAGTTGTGAACCCTGGTCCAAAGTAGACGGGCCGCCGTGTTGGCTTGGAAACCCGCATTGAATTCCAGGTTAGCACTGGTTCGTGGCACGTTGGCCAAGCGATTCAGCGCTCAACGCGCCCACCCGCGCTCGCGCGAGCTGCGACTTCTGGGTCGCCGGTTTACCCTTAATAGAAGGGCCGCCACGATTGCCTGGAAACTGAAGTGCAACCCTATCGGTGGCCGATTCGATGCCCGAGTAACCGTGAGTTTGCAGCGTGCCGATTAAGTTGTGAATTCTTTATTGCACGCAAGAGAGTGGCGGTCATGTTGGCCTGGAAGCCACTTAGCGCTGGACGATTGGTTTTCCCAGTTTACCGAGGGTTCCCGCGTGTCGGCCAATGCTCAGCGTGCAACGCACCCGCGCGCACGCGCGGGCGCGAGTTGTGACCTCTGTATCGCTCACAACAGCGGCGGCCGCATTGGCTTGGAAACTCAAGTGGCCCTCTAGCGATGGCCGACTGGATTTTCAATTTAACATGGGTTTGTAGCATGTCGCACGAGTGGCTCAGCGCAAGGAGCGCCCACGCGCGCGCGCGAGCAGTGACTTGCGAACTATCCACGCCAGAATGGCCGCTATGTTTGCTTGGGAACTAAAGTTGCCCGTTGCGGTGGAAGATTGGATCTCCTAGTTAACAGGTGGTTGTGCCTTGTTGGTCATGTAGCTCAGCGCACAACGCGCCCGCGCGCGCGGGCGCGAGCTGTGAACTCTGACCGCCGCGCTGGCTCGGCAATTCAAGCGGCCCCGTGGCGGTGGCCGAATGGATTTCCAAGTTAACATGGGGTTGTAGCGTGTCGGCCAAGTGGCTCAGCGCACAACGCGCGCACGCGCGCGCGGGCTGTGCATGCTGCACTACCCACAATAGAAGGGCCGCTTTTTTCCTGGAAGCTCATGCGGCCCCTGAGCGGTGACCGATTGGAATTCCGAGTTCGCATGGGCTTGTAGCACGTGGCTGAACGCGCGCCCCCCCCCGGCGCGTGCGAGCTCTAAAATCCGCACTGCCCGCAATATCGGGCCCGTTATGTTGGCATGGAAACTCAAGTAGCCTCTCCGCAGTAACCGATTGAATTTCCGAGTTAACATGGGGGTTGTCGCGCATCGGCCAGGTGTCTCAGCGTACTCGTCGCCCACGCGCGCGCTAGCTGTGATCTTTGCATTATCCACCGTACAACGGCCACCATGTTGGCATGGAAAATCTAATTGGCCAATGAACGGCGACTGATTGTAATCCGCGTTAACATGGGCTTGTAGCATGTCGGTCACGTGGCTTAGCGTACAACGCGCCCGCGCGCGCGAGATGCGACTTCTGGACTACCCGCATTAGAAGGGGCCGCCATGTTGTGGCCTGGTAACTCAAATGGCCCCTTAGCGGTGACCGATTGGATTTCGGAGTTCGTGAATCTTGGGATGCCCGCAATAGAAGGGCCGCCGCGTTGGCCTGTGAACGAAGGTGGCCCTGAGAGGTGACCGACTGCACCTCCAAGTTAAGATGTGGTTGGAGCATGTCGACCATGTGGTTGAGCGCACAACGCGCCCACGCGCGCGCGGGCGCGAGCGGTGAATTCTGTTGTGCCCACAATAGAAGGGCCGCTATGTTTGCCTGGAAAGTCAAGCGGCCCCTCAGCGGTGGCCGAATGGATTTCCAAGTTAACATGGGGTTGTAGCACGTCGGCCAAGTGGCTAAGCG